ATATATATATATATATCGGGCACCTTGGTGTGGTGTAATGATTAGCAAGCTTGTCTTGCTAGGTCAGTTACTACTGAAAAGTGAGTTCGATCCTCACTGGATGCCCCATGCTTTCGGCCTTGTGCTACATCTAAGCTATGCTTGGAAAATCTTTGGGGCACCTTGAAGCGGTGTAATGGTTAGCGGGGTTGTCTCGCTAGAACAATTACGATTAAGTAGTGAGTTCGATCCTCACTGGGTGCCCCATACTTTCGGCCTTGTGCCACATCTAAGCTACGCTTGGAAAATCAATATATATATATATCAATATATATATATTAGTATTAAGCCCTTTTTGAAAATTGTATGTTATGGATAGTGGAATTATACATCATTTATTCTTATCTTGCACCTGGAGATATATCCTGTTATAATATTAGAATTTATCATATTTGTTAGATCTCCAAGAGATGTCAACATTGCTTACTTCCCTTTATACATGGCTTTCTTCCCATCTGTGATCTAAATGCTGAGGTCATTCAGAGCATAAAATGGCTTTAAGTAAGCAATTTAATTTTAAAAACCATCAACAAAACAACTGATTATTCATAAAGATTTTGTTTTTACAACTTAAATATATATCCATTAATTAGTTATCTCCAGTAATCAAGGACCATTAAGTTAGCCATCATTTAGGGTGTATGCTGGTAGATATAAATAATAAAACATACACACACCACGAGACAACCAACATTATACATTTAATTTTCAGGGCTTTGAGTAAATGCACAATGCAAGCCCTTTTAGTTTTATATAATTATTTTATATATTTGTTGAATACAGATTAGTCTGGTACAAGGCCACAAGTATTGGGCATCCAATGACAAGTGAACTCACTACTTATCTGACCATAACACTTTGATAATGATAACACTGTGAAACTTTCTATATTAATTAACATTGTCAATTTGGTTTGTGAAATGTAGATTCTGATTAGACTGGAGGTTGAAAAATTTATTCCTTTTGTTGGTTAGATTTTATGTCTTTTAGGCAAACATTAAATCTTTATTCAAGTGGATGTAGTTTTATCATTATTATATATATATATATATATATATATATATAGTGGATAAGGAGGTGGAGTTCAGAGACGTGAAGATAACATTCTTGCATTAAAATTATTTATTTCATAATTTTCATTGATTTTCTTTTTTTCCTTTGATGCTGCCAAGAATAACAGAAAATAAAAATGAAGTATTTGCACCAGACAAATAAGTTCGAAATACAACTTACCAGAACCTTCATAAGATTATTCTGTGATAAATGAAGTCAAATGAAACAGAAAGCTTAATTAGAATTAAATAGACAGCACTTGATCAATGCCAAAATGCCATTGTGTGGTGGTGATGTCATTAACATATATAAAATTTCTGAACCACTACTCAAGCTATCAAAATGAACATCGATATGTATTGTGTGATACCCAGTTGTAAGAAGTTAAATCAGGATGTGATCAGCCCTGATTGGATTAACTGGGAAAAAGAATCTGATGGTTAAAGACCCAAACCTCTGATGATTTTGGTTGTAAAACATCCATAATGACAATCCCCAACACATTGAAAAAGTGTATTTTATAGAAATCTTGATGGAAAGTGCATTTTTTCTTTTGCATCCTTTCTTTTCTCAAATGTTCAAGCTGGTAGATGAAAATAAATAAATATACTGTTTAATAAATAAAACTGGTTAAAAATGATAAAATCTGTCAGATAAATAAAAAATTCATTACTTATTTAGAAATTACATATCTACACACATATACACACATTTAGATACCTTGAAAAGATTACAGCTTAATATTAAAAGAATTTATTTTGTACAACAAATATTTGTTTTTCAATATAATCTTCTTTCTTGTCAATGCACTTAACCTGATGTTTCTTTATAGATTATATAAACTGAATTTTATACAGTGACAATTTCAAATCAAGATTCAACAAATAACTGTCATGGTATGAACTTATTGATCCAACCTTGTATTTCATCTTGAGAATTTTACAGCCAATCAGTTGAAATAAGGAAGTCTGTTGTTTTCTTTAAGCACAGAAATAGATGTTAAATTATGTAACACACACACATGCAGACACAAGATGGTGCTGAAAAGTTTCCAGCCTGACTAACTTACGTAAATGACTAAACATCAGAATTCTTTGGAAGGCCTATATTGGACAAGAGATATTTTATACACCCTCATATATACACACATGCACACACACAATTAAAATCAAATCAAATTTGAAATGCATTGTTGTAAATATTCTAATGTTAAAATTAATGCATGTATTGAAGCTTCTTTGTCATTACCATAGACAGTTACTATGACCACATTTATATCATAATTCTGATAGTTCCTCCAGTTACGTGTCTAATAATCCATCATTTTGTTTTGATTACAAAAAAAGATGGGAGAAAATGACATATCAAAGACACCATCTGGTTTTAGTGAGAAAAAGAAAGCATACATAATAAGAAAGAGAGAAAGAAACTATTGCCATATATGGTGGCATACAAGGCAACCTTTTAACCTTTATCGAGCTGGAGGTAAAAATTGCTGCTGTAGAAGTCTTGCCCTTTGCAGCTTTAAGTGCATTCTGTCGCCTTGAGAGGATTGCTATAAATAAACACTTGTCAACTGTTATTTCTGGTATTTTAAGCTGGAATTAGCCTACTACCACTTTGGAATGTGGCTAAACTTTTATTTTCTGATGCCATTTTGAATTCTGCTACATAAGGTGTAACATCGATTAAACCCACATTAATTTTGTGAAGATTTATTTTATACAAAAATGGCTACATCAACATTCAAAAAAGCCTTTATTCATGAGTTTTTCTTTGATTAGGACACCAATGATGATTTTGAAGGCTTTACTCAAGTGGATATTGATAGTGAAGTGGCTGGAGATGGAGATGATAACAACATTAGTGATGGGGCGAAAGCTATGATGACGACTAGGTGCTGAGGGACTACTACCATTCATGGCTGACTAATTTTATGGAAGCTAGTCCCATGGATGTACCTGATAGCCTTTCAGAAGGTGAATTATTTTGTCTATTTATAAACAACAAAATAATAACTTTATTTGTCCACGAGACAGATAAATATGCTAGTCAGGTGAAAGAAAAATCAAGCAAATACTGATGTCTTCTCATGTAAACACATGGAAGGACATCACTTATGATGAAATGAAAACCTTCTTAGCCATTTTGCTTCTTATTTCACCCCAGAACTCCACATGAGTAATAAAAGTTAAAGTATGTTAAATTTTTAATGTATTTGTTAATGTATTTGTTTTTTATTTTTATTTTATATTTCAATTTTTTGTTTTCAATGTCAAAACATGTATTCAAAACATTGCTCCATTCTTTTATTAGTATACAAAAAATAAAATCTATACACACAATATAAAGAAAGTTATAACAATTTTAAAACAGTAGGTCTTCATGTTTTTTACGCCCTCAAAAATAATGCAGAATAAGAATTTGGTAGGTAAGAATTAACCTTAAAAAATCCCTCCAAAAACAGGGGTCATCTCATCCTCCAGGTATAAAATGTGAACCTTAAATCCTGAGGTTTATGGTAAGTTGTTAGCATGGGAGATTTTTGACAGTAAGCTAACACCTGACTCATCTCCTTTTTTCAATGATGTTGAAGGGAAAAAAACAACAATTTGATGTGTGTCTCAGCAAGCCATTTAAAGATTGCATTTTCAAACAGTGGAATGAGTGGGTTGCTCGTGGGGAAAAATCATTCTTGGCAACTGTAATAGCATACCGTAAACACAGTACCCACTCATGAGGTATTGTAGATTGTGGGAGTTAATTGACAGTATATTCCCACCATTTTTTTTTATTAGAATTTGAGTGAAAAGAAAGTATATGCTTACTGAATTTATGTAATATTTAATACATTTTAAAATATGCTTGTACATCAAATATAGCCCAAATCCATTTGACTTGAAAATTTGGTGGGGGTCACCTTATATGCCCAGTTGTCTTGTATGCCAGCATATATGGTACTAAGAATATTTTATGCAAAGAAATGATAACTTATTGTATGCAAAAACTATTAATGATTTAAGAGTGGTAGGAATTTGTATATAATTTAGTTTACCTTATGTGTAGAGACATTTAGGCTTGTCTTGTGAAAGTCAAACTTTTGGATAAAAGCATTTGTTATTTCAGGTAAATTATTATAAGTATGTACAATATATACAGCTTTTGTAGTTTGTTGGTTTTTAATCTTTTCTGTTGGAACCTGTTACTTTTTAAAATAATGACCTGAATTCATAATTGTTATTATAATATTTTCTGAACATATTTTCTCAAAATTTTAATGCAATTTCCACAGGTATTTTATGGTTGTAAAAATTGCAGAAGTATTATGGGTCTCAGTGCAGGTCATGACAAAATATACTTTGCACTCAGTGTGACATCAAAGAAGTCAGGTGCAGACTCATGTGACTGGACCAGTTGCACCGAAGTTTCCAAACATGGGAATAAGATGCATGACAGAGATATATCTATAATCACCTTTCACAGCATTAAGGGGCAGAGTCTCTCAGACATTGCCGATGAGAATGTAAGGGCCATGTTTCAAGCACATACACACACACACATGAAGAGTAATTGACAAAGTAACAATGAATAAAATGAAATGTTAGATAAAAGAGATTTAAGTTTCATGTTTTTATTTGTTAGCACAAAGTTATCATTATAGAAGGAACGTATTCAATGATCAAAAGAAGAATGATGGTTCATGAGAAAATTCAAAATTAAGAAAACTGAAATTTTCATTGGTACTGCTAGCATTTTATCAAGGCTTCCATATTTAAAAACTTTTACTTTAATAAAAATGGATAAAATGCCAAGTGTTTTTATTTTTCATTCTTTAGTCGAATTGAATTTTTCCTTTTCTTATTCATTCATTTTATTTATTTAATTTTTTACCATTTTTTTTCTTTCAGTGGCATCAAAGAGAAAAATTTTATGCTGCATTATGAGGTAAGTAAAAAAAGAAATGACTTTCCTATTTTGATTTCAGCAAGAGAAACAGTAATAAGTCAGCTTCAAACAAGAATGACTGGAGATGTTAATGCTTAACATGTTTGCTGCCACATGATGCCTATGTGTCTGGTAGTCTGTCTTGTATTCTTCCTGATGCACATTTCTGTCCATTCTACGAATCCATTAAAAGAATGTTGCTATTCCATATCATTTTTGTCTACTTTGATTTGTAGAACAATATTTTGTTTAAAATTGATCATGATGCACAATTTCTATTATTATATCTAACAACAGATTGTACCTAACAAAATACTCTTGAAGAAGTTCAGCAAATACATGAGCTGAAACATTGTGAAAAGAAAACAAGCCAATGAATAGAGAAGAGTAAAAAATAAATAAATAAATAAATAGAAACTCATAGAATATGAAAAAAAACCTCCATTTTAAAATCCTGGCTACAAACTGTCAAATACCTTTTTAAGTGTTATGAAATTGCATGACCCCTTCTTTGACATTCCACCCTTGAATATTTTATTTCAGATGGATTTAAGGGTTAAACTTCTTATGCTTCAGGGGAATGTCATAGAATTTTGTGGGTTAAGTCAGACAGTACTTTACAGAAAACTCTTTTTGTGAAGTGTATTAATGTGACAGAATTGATTGAGGAAGAAACACTTTGTATGAAGAAAGCTTCTTTTATTTTGGGGATCAGGCACTTTTACATTGTTTGACACTGACCTTCTATGGTTGAAGTTTCTTGGTTTCCATTTCTTATATATCTAACGGGTTAATTCTGTCTGTATGCCACAGAAGCACTTTGAATAAAAAGCAAAATATTTTTTAACAAAAATTATTAAATTTTATAGATGTAAGAAAATTAACTTCAAAGGTCAATTTGGATTTGTACTATGTTTTAGAGTATTGTTGATTCAGTGAAATTTTGGTAAGTATGTAGTAAATTTGATAAATTGTACAAAAAATATTTTTTTGTGGTGTCAAAGACCAGAATCAACAAATTAAAAAAAGGGAAAAAATATTCTCAAAATATTTCAAAATTAAAAAGTGCTATGAAAAAGATGGTGAAAAATGTGTGAATTTTAAATGTTTTTATATTAAAAGTGAAAATGAAATACATTTTTATTTGATGCTATTTCCGAGAAAGCAAAAAATGTCATACAAGCAGCAAAATAATATATGTGCCATTGAGATGGGTGCCAGAGCTGAAAGTAACATTTGTCAGTGGTTTGTTAGTTCAGTAGTGGAAATTTTGATCTGGAAGTCAAAAATCTTCCCATGGGCTTGCTGTGGTTGATAACCAAATTGAAATACTGATTCAGGTCACATGACACAGGACTTCATTGAGATACACCACATATCTTATATGAGCACTGTAAGGCATTTGAAAATACTTTGATGCATGAATATCTACAATGTTGGTGCCTCATTATTTAATGGAAAAAAAACTTGACTATATTTCCATCTGCATTTTTCTACTCAAATGCAACGAAAATGATCCATTTGTGAAAAAAGTGATCCCAGCTGAAGAAAAATACCTGTGTGGAGCAAAAAAGATCTTGGAAAAAATGAAATAAGTGATTCTATATATATATATATATATATATACACACTCACACATATACAATTTTCATTGTTTTTGCTGTCACTTTTTCAGTTTGAGACTGGCTGACCTGTGTTAATCATCTTTTATTAAATTTCATTTGTCATCTTCTGGAATCTAACAAAAATTCTCTTATGAATGAATTATGATGAAGGGAATTTCTCAATTTAACCTTTATCTAGCTGGAGGCAAAATTGTTGCCGTAAAATTTTCTCTCTTTGCAGCACATTCTGTTGCTTTGAGAGGTTTGCTATATATCAACTCTTGTCAACTATTATTTCCGCTATTTTAAACTGGAAATAGAATACTACTGCTTTGGAATGAGGCTAAACTTCCATTTTCTGATACCATTTTCAATTCTTCTACACTCTACATGAGGTGTAACATTGATTAAAACTATGTTAATTTTTTTGCAATTTTTTGTAAACACTAATGTCCACATCAACATTCAACAAAGCCTTTATTCAGGAAATTTTCTTTGATTTGGACTCTGATGATGATTTTGAAGGCTTTACTCAAGTAGATATTGATAATGACATGGTCTGAGATGATAACCATGCTAGTGACAGGGAGGAAAACGATGATGACCACTTGGTACCGAGCGACAACTATGGCTGATTAATTTCATGGAAACTACTGGCCACATGGATGTACCTGATAGCCTTTCTGAAGGTGAATTATTTTGTCTATTTATAAAGAACGAAATAAGAACTTTATTTGTCAATGAGACAAATATACTAGTCAGGTGAAAGAAAAAGCAAACAAATGCTGGTGTCTACTCATATGTAGACATGAGGAAGGATGTCACTTTTAACAAAAAGAAAGCCTTCTTAGCCATTTTGCTTCTTGTTCCATCCCAGAACTCCACAAGAAGTAATAAAAGTTAAAGTATATTAAATTTTTAATATATTTGTTTTTTATTTCTTGTTTTTTATTTTATGTTTCAATTTTTTTTTGTTACTAACATCAAAACATGCATACAAAATGTAATTCCTCCATTCTTTTTTAGTATACAAAAAATAAAATCTATAAACAATACAAAGAAACTTATAACAATTTTAATCCAGTAGGTGCTCATGTCTTTTGCACCTTCAAAAAATAAAATACAGTGGCGGTGGAACAATTCTAGGAAGAATTTAGTGGGGTAAAAGTTAATCAAGTCTTTACTTCATTGAGTAGTATGATTGACAATTACTGTAGTGACTCATCTTAATTTTCTCATGCAGTGTAACATGTCAACCCCTGGTTTTTGCCTAGAAATTCTTATGGTTGTTTGGATCATTTTTCAATCAGATGTTGGATCCCTAAATAGAATCCTGAATATCCCTTTGTTCAAGAAAGTTTCCCTATGTTGTTGTTATCTGCTTCTCTCATTTTAGTTATTCTTGTATGTTTTTGTCCTTTCATCTGGATTGCTTTTTCTTCCTGATGTCTGTGTTTAATTAAGCAGCAGGCCATTGGTTAGCTTTTCTTGATCATCCATCTGTTCAATCTATTAATGGCTGTTGGCAGTATGTTGCAGTTTTTAAGGCACCTTGCATGTGTAGATCTGCAAAAAGATTTGCTGCATGTTCATTACATAGAGGCCTTCAAGTGTAAAGTGTTTCCAAGGTTAGATTTCTGTTGAGAGAATTTGTGGTTTAGAGTTTCATTTTAAGCAATCCTTTATGCTCAATCAGGCATTTAAAGAAGGAAATTAAAACAAAAACACATTGATGGATAAAACAAAATTGGTGTCTATAATGGACAGGCTGGATTTGGTTGAAAGTAAAATGTGCCTGATTGCAAGGTTTGTTGTTCTGGAAGGAGAGTGTTAAAAAAAAAAAAAGATGAGTATGTTGACCTTGCCCTAAAAGATGAGAGAGTTGTGGAACATGAACATGACAGTTATACCAGTCATATATCAGAGTATTGAGAAATTGTTCTGAAGAGCTTAAGGAAAAGACTATAGGAGCTGGAATTTAAGGAGGCATCATTGAAAACTCCTAAAACACTGAAGAGTATTGGTGTGCTGATAAGGTTTGCTGTCAGTTAATCTCCATTGTAGACTATCAGTTACTATGTGGGAAAACTTGGTGACTAAATAGGCAAAGAATTATTGAATAGTTGTGTGGGTGGCAAAATGGCTTAAAATATGGATGAAATTTAATTTTACAAACTAGGGAAATTTTTTTTTTTTTTTTTCTATCTCAAAGATTAGAACACTTGTCTTGCTTAGCTCTTGGAATTTAAAAAAAATTTCAACCTCCTACAAGCAGATAGATTTATTGTAATGTTTTTATTTCCAGTTATAAGATGGAGTAGTCTTATTATTGCATGGATAGATGGATGAGTATCTTCATTTTCCACGTCTTGACTAAACTACTCTCCAGCCTTAAGTGATTATGACTGGTAATGAATAACTTGAAATATTGTGTATAGTTTTCATTGTGATTGTTTTGAGCACAACATTCGGCCAGTATACTTTCTTGCCTTCCTCATGTTGCCTAAAGTTCTGATATGAAATACAGCTATTAGTAGATGAACTAGCACCCCACTTGATTATTATGCATGAGGCATAGTTGAGTGAGAGACCAACAAAACTTGTAACACTTAAGATGAACTGAAGGCAAGGATTATTGCAGAATTCATCAACTTAAACAAGGAGACCGTGCAGCAGATTCTGAATTCGTCTGGAGGCTGTGGTTGAAGACAATGGCAATTTTATTGAATAAATGTACTCTTTAGTATTTCAAAGTATTTTTGTGTAATTTTGGTAAATATATCAGTTAAAATGAGATGACAGTGTTATTTTTATTTTTGCATAATATAGATGACAATTTATCCATCGCACTCTGTATAATGTGTTAACAGATTACGGAAAATATATTCAGATTACTATGGGATGGTATGATTGACAAAACTGTATGGAACAGTTGGATGATTTGTTTCATAATGTATGTTTTAATTTGATCATGTGAGTTTATACCTGATTAATGCTATGAAGAAAATATACAGGGTAATTTAGCTTTGTACCTTTCTCAAGATTATTAGCATTTAATCTGCTCCAGTGAAGAGTTAGAATGTAGTGATTGCAAGGAAGTCTGTGTGAATGAAAACTTCATGGCTTTGTTTAAAACAACAGAAATCACTTAGTTTTTCTCTCACTCATAGAAATACGTTCAAGATGTTGATAACTGAACATGTGTTAATTTACTCTTCTTTGACTTTTTAAAATCTCTATCACCCTCTCTCTCTCTCTCTCTCTATATATATATATATATATATATATATATATATATATAATTTATAAAACCATTGATAAGTATAGGAAAAATATAGCAAAAAGTTCTTTATATCAATTTAGAATGGATATTTTTTGGTCATTGAAGCATTCTCT